GTGGAACATAGGGCTTCAGGCTTTGAAATTTCCAGTAGCGCATGTGTTGTTTCTACGTGTTAAGATTGCTGGCTTCACGTTCAACCTTCCCTCTTCATCGGGTTTATTACGAGTCAGGTGAGGTTTATGTGGCGTGTCGGGGCTGGGAATCGAGCTACGAACCATGTGTGGGCATTTCACCTCTGAACCAACGACACACTAATCACTGGAGTGCAGAAATAGGCTTAATCTGACTACTATTAGCACAGTATGAACGAGAAAATTAGTAGAGAATACCATTATAGGTTAATCATGACCGTATATATCAACAAATGTAGCTGTTAATTCATTAGGCTAATCAAAGTTAACAATGTAACCACTAAGCTAAGTAAGTCGTAATCTTTATAGAATAAAGAAATGAATATAGTAGTACACGCAAAGGATACAATACAACTGAGAGTAATGACTTTTTTTCAGTGGGGAAGCACTAACTTAATGTTACAACCAGTTATATAAGACGACTAAAGTTGATATTAAATGGCACTAAGTGACTGGGGTATACTACAAGTTAAATATAAGTTTATTTATCCTCTCGACAACTTAAAACACTATAACACAAATCACTTTTGAAATCCTCCTCTACTTATCAACATCTCCTTTAAGTCGGATGCACTCTGCACTCCCAATGAGTGATGGTGCTCCCACTGAAACCCGAACTCTGCACCCATCGTTTCAAACGCCAAGGCTAGTCATCATCGAGGGAAATGGCTTAAAGTGAGTCCTAAGAAATCGTCGAAGCGACCGTACTAGGAACCGGCACATCAACACAGACTGAGCATTTCAGTCCAAAATAATCAACCAACGGGAAATGTTAATTAACTCAAAAGGCTTTTTAAGTCGCTAATATGTTTTTACATGGAACAATGAACTGATTTACTAAGACTGAACAAAGCTAGGAGTTGACCTTAGGTCAAACATAGACTGGTCTAAAATTAACAACATTTAAACCAGACTAGACAGTTTGAAGGACAAAATTACCAGACAGTTATTACATCATTGTCTAACGTACAGATGGGTAATGATACTAATTGAGATAAGTTTAATTGAATTTTAGATTTTCCCATCGATTGATTGGATCGAAGTGCTCGGTCTCAGGTTGACACGTCGGCATCTTGAGATAAGGGTTATAATAACAACCAAAATGGTAATAATGTGACCTAATAACCAAGTTCATAGAAATGTAAGCGTACTGAATAACCCATTAATACGAAAAACTAAATGCAAAAACAATAGTAACATGAGTTATTAAACTAGGGAGGTTAAAATGAATTGTATAACGGGGACTGACTGACTGACTGGTTTCAGCATAGAACTTTGCACCGATGTGCAGCAGTTCGAGTCGCCACACTTCACTTAGCGTACAAAGCAAGAGAAGAAAGTAAAAAGAAATGCAAAACAGAGACAGTAAACAGAGATATGAGGCGAAAAGAATAGTAATATCGAAGAACGATATAGTTTTATTGGATATTATAAGTCACAAGGAGTGGATGCATCTGCGCTGTCATTGAGAACGATTTTCAGCCATATCACCAATTGTCTCCAACCATTGGTTTTCACCATCCTGAGGACCCCAACCAGGAAGTCAACACTTTCCTACGTGGCTTAAACTAACTATTGTGAATTTCATTGACTGGCGAAGCCATGTTTTGGTTTCACCACCACTAGCTAACTCTTTTCCAACCTGACCCTATGTCAGCTAACGTTGCCCATCGAGGTAGGGTAGAGATAATAAATAAAGTTTGATAAAAGTTGAAATTAGAATACAGTTTAATGCAGGGGTAATCTAGTAAAAAGTGGTATACTACATGAAGATAAACTTTTTGATGCAAACAGACACATAACATTACTCAACTGAACTCATCAACATTCAAGTTTCATGCCATTCGGCGAACATTAACAGTACTGTCCGAATCAAGGGATGTCCACATATGGAACGAGGTTCGAACCCCTGACACTTCCACAAACACATAGTACTTATAGTTATCGCAGATAATTAGCTTTTCACACAATATTAATCCGAAAATCTAGATTTATCCAAGGGAATTTTTTGACAGTGAACATTGACAATCGATCTTATTCCTCGACATGTTATATATACTTTAAGATTGTATAAAATGATGCCATTCCCGTCAGTCGGTAGGTTTTCGACATAGAACTTTGCACATATGTGCGGCTGTTCAAGTCGCCACACTCCCTCCTTGTAGCACACAAAGCAAGAAAAGAAAGTAGGAGAAATGCATATTAGAGACAGTAAACAGAGGTGTGAGACAAAGGAATGGTAATAACGAAGAACAAAACAGTTTAATTAGAAATCATAAGTCACAAGGAGTGGATGCATCTGCTCCAGCCATTGAGAACGATTTTGAGCCATGTCACCAATTGTTTCCAACCATTGGTTTTTACCGTCCCGAGGACCCCAACTAGTCAGGAAGTCTACACCTTCCTACGTGGCCTAGATTAACTGTTGTAGATTTCATTGACTGGTACCATGTTTTGGTTTGACTGCCGCTAGCTCTTTTCCAGCCTGATCCTATATCAGCTAACATTGCCCATCCGTCGAGGAAGGCGATGACTAGGCATACGTAGCACATGTCCTAACCATCTCAGTCGATGTAATTTCACAGTCTCGTCGACTGATTTCCCCTCGTTACCTAGCACTCGACGCTGATACCGGTCCACTTTAACTGTTTTAAGCACAATAGTATGGCATATTCTTCTAACATTTTACTAACCTGAAAAGAAAATCACATCATTAGTAGTAACCTCAGGATTTCAGTATACAAGCAAGTTGTGCTTAGAACTGTATGTATTCATGAAAGTCACTGTAATCCCGTAATATTGGATTTTTTTTAAAACGTACACCGGATAGTTTTAGACTTTTGATGGTGGTGTGGAGTATTTTCACTAATCTTCATTTCATTATTTCCTTTGCTACTCTCATTTTTGATTATTGTAATATCGTTATTTTTCTTTTCTATTACTTTGTGTATAGCCACCTGAACAGATTCGCTCCTGTGCATAGTTATAATACATCAGTTCGTCAGTCATTGAATTCTGCTAACTGCTAACCACCACCCTGTTTCGTACTTCAAAATCCCTTCCAATCCAATAAATATCAGGTTTGAAACTCAATGACATGCAAAATTAGTGGTTATTATAAGAACGAATGGAAGCTTTAGTCACTTTCTTTTAAGCAAGCTTAGAAAATTAAAACATAGACACTCGATAAGTTGAATGTTAATCAACTTATGCATGTAAATTTTTCCCATATTCATGCTACTACTACACCTTGAGCTGCAATCTACGAATGTTTGGCATGCGATTCGCTCCCACCAAATGCAAGATGATGTTACAGGATTGGACTACACCGACTCCTAGATTAGAAATAGGAAGTGAAGTGGTAGAGCACGTTGACCGCTTCACGTATTTGGGAAGTACCATCAGCCAATGCCAACGGGTTGATCTCTGACGAAATCTCAGCACGAATACAGAGGGCTAGTTTCGCATATGCCAGTTTACGCCGTCTCTGGCGTAGACGTGATATCCGACTATCGACCAAAGGGCGTGTGTACTGCTCATCAGTCCGCTCCGTCCTCCTTTATGGCTATGAGACCTGGCCATTGAAAGTGGAAGATGAAAAACTGGCTAGCTGTCTTTGATTGTAGGTGTCTGCGTTCTATCTCCCGTGTGAAGTGGTATAATAAGGTGAGCAATATTGAGGTTAGGCTTCGGTCGAGTGCTAGGTAAGGAGGGGAAATCAATCGACGAGACTGTGAAATTACATCGACTGAGATGGTTAGGACATGTGTTACGTATGCCTAGTCATCACCTTCCTCGACGGACAATGTTAGCTGATATAGGGTCAGGCTGGAAAAGAGCTAGCGGCGATCAAACGAAAACATGGCACCAGTCAATGAAATCTACAACAGTTAGTCTAGGCCACGTAGGAAGGTGTAGACTTCCTGACTGGTTGGGGTCCTCGGGACGGTAAAAACCAATGGTTGGAAACAATTGGTGACATGATATGATATGATTATGAGCAATAAATTGTGCTCGAAACGTCATCAGTAAATATTACTGTATAACACTGTGAGACTTTATCAAAATAAAATTTACCCATAATGGAATTGGTGACATGGCTCAAAATCATTCTCAATGACAGCGCAGATTTTTTAAAATTTTATTATAGCTTGATTCCACACAGTATTTTGGTACAAGTATGAAATTTTCAGCATGTGATATCGGTAGCCCAAATTTAGCAGGCCGACCATAGATATCGGGTGTGCGTCAGCGGGGGATCGAACCTCGGACCATGTGCATGGTCGGCGACAGTCCTAACCGCTCTGCCACCGACGCATCCACTCCTTGTGACTTATAATATCCAATAAAACTATATCGTTCTTCGATATTACTATTCTTTTCGCCTCATATCTCTGTTTACTGTCTCTGTTTTGCATTTCTTTTTTACTTTCTTCTCTTGCTCTGTACGCTAAGTGAAGTGTGGCGACTCGAAATGCTGCACATCGGTGCAAAGTTCTATGTCGGAAACAGACAGACAGACAGACTACACTGTATCGATTCTCCTTTGAAATGGTCAAATATTAGTTGTTCTCATTAAGAGATAAACAGTCATGCCTGATCAGCTTCACTCATAAATAGATAAGTCACAAAATGATAAAATAGATTAACTACTAGATGATTTACGCACATACATACACACAAACACATCTTTATGCACCACGAAAATCTTACTACGAGATTTATTTGACGAGGGTAAAACATGCATTTTAGCCATGACGAAAGTGAAGTGAATTAAATATTCGATTCCATCGTTGGATAAATCCACCACATCACTCCTAAGAACAATAGTACAACTGGTATAAACCTTGACAGAAGTAGATGTTAATTCATTTGTAATACAGAAAATCGCACTACAACACACCGAAAGAGATATTACTTACTAGATCTGAGGCCCATTGAGGATTGAACTTTGGCCGTTGTTTTGCATGCGCTACCCAACGTTGTAGACCTTCCATTGATGGCTGTGGACCAAGTTCTAATTCAAATGGTGCTAAATAATTTGTAATGTCAATTACTGAAGTCTTGTCAGAACCACAACAACATCGCATCATCAATTCCCAGAACACTAAACCCATTGCATATACATCAATACGTAGAAATGCATCCTTTGAGAATTGAATAGCGCCATCAAGAACCTCGGGTGCCATATATCGACGAGTACCCAACTAGAAATAGACGATAAAAGATGAGTAAATGGTTACAAGTGCAACAAAGTAAAGTAAACAAAGTAATACAACTATACTAGGCTATAAGTCATAGTTATTAAGTGATAGGTTTTTTTGTTTCTATGCTCAAATTTTGAGAAACAAGGGTTAAATGATTGATTTACCCATTTATAGCTATCTAAACAGTAATAATAGAGTACTTCGATATTTAATATTGCTTAACAAAAGCACTTGTCTTATACGCATAATTGAAAAAGTGAATATTTTTTCCAGAAGATAATCAAAAATTCGGCAGTTATTTGTTTTCTTGTACAAAACATTACTATAACGGAAAACTGTGAAACATACGATAGATAGTAGGTTCGGAGAAACATCTCCGAATAGATTATCTAGAGCTTAAGTTCTTGTACAGATACTACAAAAGGAAAGATGAACTTCTCCACATCGGCGATAATATTGAAGTTAATAATCAGCTAAACCATAAACGTATATAGATATGAAATTATAAACAAACGTGACAGAGACTTTAGCAATGAAGTAACTTGTGTTAGAAAGAATAGGTTATGATAAAACTCAAACCAGCAACTGAGTTGGCATGATATGTCAAGTTGACCAATAGATAAGAGTCATAATCAAGTTATGAATTCGCATCAGTGAAATGGTTGTTGCTTTTCAATAAAGATAAACTCCAAAGTCAGTACATCAGCTCTCAATCTTAATTACTAGCCACGTAAACAGTGAGCTAACTATATCACTATCAAGTATTGGTTTGTAGTAATTTGGTTGATTGGTTACAGGATTTCATCATGAGCTGACATTGGTTAGAGAACCATTGGAAAACCTGGGAGTACTGGACAGCTGTTTCGTCCTAGTTTGAGACTCTTCAGCAGTACACACCCACCAGGAGTCGAACCCAAGACCTTCTGGTTACAAGGCGAGCTCGTATACCATTGAGCCACTGGGACCCGATCCAATGGCCTATAAATTCTAACTTCTGCCAATTCACGATATAGCGCAACCGCTAGCCAATGTCTTCGGCGAGTATTTGTCCTCACACCCGACCTGGCCCTATTCAGGTAGGTAGTTACCTGGGGTTCCAGTGGGAAGTCGTGACCAGTAGGGTGCGGCAGGTCGGGTGTGAGGACAAATACTCGCCGAAGACATTGGCTAGCGGTTGCGCTATATCGTGAATCGGCAGAAGTTAGAATTCATGAGCCATTGGATCGGGTCCCAGTGGCTTAATGGTGTACGTGCTCGCTAGCCTTGTAACCAGAAGGTCCTGGGTTCGAACCCCTGTGGGTGTGTACTGATGAAGAGTTTCAAACTAGGACGAAACAGCTGTCCAGTACTCCCAGGTTTTCCAATGGTTCTCTAACCAATGTCAGCTCATGATGAAATCCTGTAAACATATCACTATCAAATGTATCTAAGCTTGTAAAAGTAATAACTAACTCGAAAACCCAGAATAATAGACCATAGTCATGTGAGTCAATAGACACGCTATTCTCTCCTTAGATGTTTGCCTGGATTTATAAAAACCCTCCTTAAACACTGTATTATAAATAGTAAGCATGGTTGCAACTTCTTCGTCGACTGTTATTGTACCATAGTTACGGATTCAATTAAGACATTATCAAGTCAGAAAGACTACCAAAAACAGTGGACAACTTTGAAACGGTCGAGAGAAACTTATAAGTCTCCACCATCTTCTTCACAATATTTCAGGTTGGTTGATCAATAAATGTAGATAAGAAACATACACATGCAATAGCAGCACTATTTCAGTGCTTTCTACCAGTCGACTATTATTACCTGTCAAATGATATCTTTATGATCCACCTAGACGGTAACAGTTGTAGCTCATCGGCTTCAACACTTGACATTTTTACCTCTGGCTCATGAGTTCAAAAGACATTAGACATTAAGTGTGATTCGTAGCCTAGTAGATAAAAAATATTCCACAGAATGAGTTACACCACTATTATAGTCATTATTTTAATTATTACATTCACTATTATTATTATTATTATTATTATATATCACTTACTTGCAGGTGCGCATCTCTCATACACTGACCAGCTTCAAAACGAATCGCCAAACCAAAATCAGCAATACATGCTGTAAGATCAGCCTTTAATAATATATTACGAGAATTTAAATCACGATGAGCTATACTTGGCTTTGATAAATTTGGAATTTCCATGTGTAAATGTGCTAATCCTTGAGATATTCCAATACAAATTTTTAATAAATCAGCCCACTGTATATCGTGAACATGAAGATAATCGTATACACTTCCTAAATGATGATATTCCGTAATTAACCAATATTCTAATTTATCCTCTCCAATAGAATTGTCTACAACAACCTATACGTTAAAAAAAATTTGTTTTTAAAAAGAAAGGAAACGGAAATAAGTCTGAATTTCTTATTAATAAGTCATATGAAGGCAGTGGTATAAAATAGGAGATCAGTGATCTGAAAACGCTACATCCAGGGTCTACAGCATTAGGATTATGAATTAATAAGAACTAGCAGTCACATTATTGACTGTCTACAATAATATTCGAAGTGTTGACAATAGATTCATGATATCATTTGACGTATCTTTCTTATTCACCAATATGTACCACTTATGGAAAAAGTGGACTTTGTATGCGAAGAACTCATAAGACAAAAACTCAATGTTGGCATTCCTATATCTTTTATAAAAGAGCTTTTCTTGAAATGCACAATGAATGTCCACTTTTTATTTAATAAGGAACTATACAGACAAATCGATGGAATGGCAATGAGGTCACCATTAGGACCCATTCTAGCCGATATTTTCCTTGAGAAACTAGAAAATGGGCCTTTGAAAGATGTTATTGATGAACTTGAATTCTATTGTCGGTACATGGATGATACATTTTTGATTATGAAAAGTGAGGAGGAAGCAAACAACATCCTGCATAAATTTAACGAGGTTCATCCTGCAATAAATTTTACTGTTGCGAAAGAAAAAGACTAGTATTTCATTTCTAGACGTCCTTATGACCAGACAAGAGGATGGCACAGTAAGAAGTGTAAATAGAAAACCTACATCAACGGGTTAGTATACTCATTTTTTCAGCTTCGTGCCCTTAAAATACAAACGCAATTTGGTAAAGTGCTTGGTTCACAGAGCAAGAGCAATCTGCTCGGATGAATGTCTTGATGAGGAACTTAAAAATATTAATCGGTTGTTGAGTGAAAACGGTTATCCGGAAAAGTTTATTGATAAGAATATGAATCTAAAATCAAAGCAGCCCAAGGTACCAACAGTTCCTAAAAAGGCCTTATTCTTACGAATTCAGTTCCTCGGAGACAAGATCAGCAAGATACTAACACAACGCCTTAGAAATGCGGTAAAGAGAATTCCCTGCTGCTGAATTACGCTGTGTCTTCAAAACCACTCCTATTTTGCGTTCGGGAGTAAAAGATAAACTGCCTAATTTCGCCTCTTCCATGTGTATCTACCAATTTAACTGCTCCTGTGGAGCCAGTTACATAGGCCATACAATTAGGCGTGTTTCTCGTCGGATTTCCGAACATCACCCTGCATGGTTAAGTAAAGGACAAACAAAATCTATTCGCAGCGCTATTCTGTCTCATCTTGTGGATACAGAACACAAGATTGATGTTAACCAGGCTTTCAGAGTCATTTACCGCATACCAACAAGTCTTAATTTCACCTTAAGAGTTCGATTACTAAATATTGCTGAGGTTGTTGGGATCCACATTAAGAAGCCCAATTTATGCGTCCAAAAGAAGCTAGTTCAGACATTATCCTTACCTTGGCCATCTAGGTTTGAATGATCCTCAATTTTTTGTGGAAATTTCCTTAATTTTAGTTGATATTCTATTTGCTATTATATCTTTATTATTATTATAATTTAAGCATCTTTAATGAACTGTAATTGCATTGATCTTACTTTACAAATCGATATTATTTACTAACCACTAATATTGCTATTGACTACTAATCTAGAATTTTTCTATGTATATAAACATATATGTAATTGTAGAGACAGAAGAAATTATCGAAAAGGATATTCTTTGCTCAATTATTTTGTGTTTTATAGGTATTTTAACTTGTCTTTTACGTATCATGTATAGATGTGACTTAATCTATGTAATTGATTTGAATAATTATTTATGCTATTGTGATTAGATAAATATATACCGAATAAATAGAGAAGTTGAATCACCCCGTTCTGTAGGAAACTGCCTCTTGTGCATTGTGTTTTGTAAAATCGAATCACTCATACTGTTATAGACAAACTTGAATCAAAATACTGGACCCAGAAGACACTTGATCTACTTTATATTTATACTTTGGATTCACCTTTATTGACTGTTATAAAACTTTTTATCATAAATATGAACTAAAGAACAAATGTGAGAAAATCACTGATAGAATTAAAATTGAGGCTTAATTAAAACCTAAGCTCTCTTTCAATATATACAACTAGTGTGGAAACAATTATCTGTTAAGTAAACGTTTAAATTTATACGAAGCCATTTTCCTGTCTACTAACCACAACCAGACGGTTACAAAAATGATGTAGCTTATTGGTATACATATCACAGCTACATGGAGTGTGGCGACTTGAACTGCCGCACATCGGTGCAAAGTTCTATGTCGAAAACAGACAGGCAGACAGATATCACAGTCTCAACTAAAAGACTAAGAGTTTTGCAGCCACTTTGACCTATCCACTTAACTCTCATATGGTGGTTGTACTAAATATAAATATTATGCCTATAGTTTATTTATTGGAAAGATATATCAATATACATTGGGAACTGACATTTCAACTGACCTGATCAGCACCATAATATTTCAAAATATTGTTATGTTCTAAACCTGATACATTGAAAATTGCTACCTCTGCTTCCCAGCTACGCTTCTCGGTTGAAGTGAATATCTTAATAGCTACATCTACCTCTTTGTTATTTTTATCCAACGATGACATTGATGCATTAGGAATTGAATTCTTCTGGCTATCGACAGGTAGTGAAAATCGACCAAGCCAAACTTGACCAAAACGTCCATGTGCTTTTAATTCAACCTTTTTAACCACAGAACATAACTGAAACTCCAAAAAAAATAAAAAATAAAGAGTTAGTGACCACGTGAAAAACGAAACGAAATCAAACAAAATGAGTAAGTGAAGGCGACAGACCAATGTAGAAAAGTGGAGAGGTATAATCTGGTATATTTAACAACAGCACAAAGAGAAAGCGTGATGAAAAGACTCAGTGGAAGGAAGTATCTGAGATGACAGCGGAAACTGTTTAAAATTATGGGATTATCAATAAGTCCTATGATAAAGGAGCCACCATGAGATAAATACAGTTGAAACTAGATATGAGATTGCAGACAGTGTTTTGGCGTAGTGTCTGCAGGTGCAATTTCATGACTAGATTTTCTGTCGGTGAGTTCAATGGTACATTTCAAATAGTTTAAGCTAACATTACATTAGCGTCGAGTTACTTCATGAAATACAAGTGTTTCGACCCAACTGCCAATAATAATTTTACAAATCGATGCCATTTTAACCAGCAGTAGAAGTGGCTTACCATAACGATTTGGCATTTACATAACTAAACATCCTTAAGTGATGACATTTGATATGAGTACAAAAACACACAACAGTTAGCTGATAAATAAAACAAACTTAGGAACTAATTTAATATATCACACTAAATTAAATCAAATCATGTTCGGCAAACATGACTGACATTTTGACTTTGAATGCTTTCAAACTGCTTCTCCAAGATTGACGCTGTTTTCGCTGCTTATACTTTCACTGTTAAATATTTCGTTTATATTGAGAAGTATTCACGCACAATACGCTCGATGAGCAAGTTAAGGCTTTCATTTCAGAAAAACATCCATTAGATGTTGGAATGGTTCAGATAAAATACAAAGCTGAATTTTAGCTGAGACTTTAATATATAAAAAATTGTAAAACTTTATTAAGCAAAGTTTATGTAGGCTACCACTTAGTATATATGCAAATGACTTGAACATTTTAGTTTGTGAATGTTTCTGAACCTGAAGGATGCTGTTCCTTATACCTAAAACTTCAATTTTCACATAGTGCTTTCAACTAGTAAGGGCCGTGAAACCATTTATTTAAAAACACGCATAGATAGTTTTTCACATCAATTAAATTTCGTAAAGTTTTTGTTTTATAAATTTCTGCGAAGCAAGTAATAAAGTGAACTCAATTTATTCTACAATGTGTGTTGTTCTTGCTTTACAAAAAAGTCAGATTTCAATAAATATATGTGCATTAAATAGATTGATAGACTGCAGAATAAATGTAGACTAATTGGTGATTGGCTTCGGTGGTTCAGAGGTAGAATGCCTACTAACCATGAACGTAGTCCGGGGTTCGATTCCCGACCGGTGAATACCTTTACCTCCCCTAGCGGGTTGCAAGCTTGACAAGGAGGGAAGGTTGGGCATGAGGTTAGCAAACCCAAACTGTAAAAAAACACCACTGCTACTGAAACTTCAAAGCTTAAGCTTGAAACTCTAGGTTCCAACCGGAAAGAAAAGGAATAAAATTTAAAAAAAAAATAGGTTGCTAAATTAACGTCGAACTTTACATATAGGTGAATCAGTTCGAGTTGCCACACTAAAATAGCACTTAGACAGAAGGGAACAGAAATAAAATGACACTAAAATAACGAACATTTATGGGAAAATAAATTAGTCAAATCCAGTTCTGTCCAGAATTCCGGGCATAACGTGTAGAAGCATTTAAGTTGGTACAAAAGGTTTTAAGGCATGTCACTGAGACTACCAGTATACCGTAGGCCCCAGATGTGTGCCCCATACCTTACTTGAGGAGTCAAACCGACAATGACGCACTTTATGAACTGGTGTCACGTCTTTTCCAAATCACCTCTAACCAAAAAAATTCAGTGATTTAATACAAGAGTAAAATCAGTAGGATACTATAGATAAATATCATACTTCTGAAAAATGAACTCACCTCAACACACTCATTAGACAACCATTGGAGACCAGTTATCGGATTTTTAGACATCTTATTCAAACCAAAGTAATTATTTTGTGCGACTGACTCGTCTGAAATGACATCTTTGACAGAATGACCACATGTACACACAGATAGACCGTGGAAAGGGTTAAACGTCAAACTGGATGATTTTTTACAATGTGAACAAGTTTTTTGCTTCCTTGGAAATCTCATGCTCTAAAAGTCATACAACAGATTAACTAATTTAACATCACTTACCTGCTTTAAACGACAAACACGATAACGGGGTAAATAAAAGACAATACAAGCAAATGTTAACATCAAAATTAAGCCGGCAATTATTGGAATAGTGATTATCAAAGCAAGGGAGATATCTTTGTGTTGCACATGAAAACTGGGTGATGGAGTGCTCGAAAATGGGGGTGATCTCGTTGTGATCACGGATTTGTTAAATTGATCTATAAAATAAAAGATAGATGAACAAAATTAAACTCTCATATAATTTACTGAGAATATGGTTATTCAGGAGAACAGTTTCCATATGGGCAATAATTTCAGAGAGTGATGTATGATCAGTACTTCGCTCATTGAATGGTAAACAACCAAAGTAGGATGTAGAGTAGCTGCATATTAACCTGTATAAATACCTCTTGTATTAAACCACTGAGATTAAAGTGATAGAATACCAGCGAATTGAGATTAAAACTCAACAATTAAGCTTAACGAAGACAGTAGTGAACTGTACATAGGAATAAAACTTGAATGAGACTCCATTTTATCGCCAAGTAGCCCAATAATAGGTTTTTGCCACAGAGATAGTAATCCATGGGCCCAAACAAGTATTTAAACTCTTGTCAATTAGGATCAAATAATTCTTTCTTCAACAATTCAGTATTTTCCTGTAATTACTAGTTTTCATTAACTTATGTGGAAAATTTCAATCTTATTTTTCATAATGCAAAATAATTTTATATTGAGGAGTAAGACACAGTTGGAATAATTAAAAACGAAAAAACAGTATGGGAAGGGGCTATCATTTGAACACTTAGATACTGGTCTTATTGATAAAATCCTGAACAAATTTAATTTTTAAAATAAAACTTCAGCTTACTTGGTGGGGAAATAATGGTATTATTGTGAACACCATTACAAAGAGGGCCTTTGCAACAGCATGTTGTGAACTTCTCCGTGGACTTTGACAAAAGATAGCAAACACCAGGCTCGCTGGGACATTCCGGATCCTTAAAATACATCAACTAAATGATAAATTTACATCAGGTGACCAAGACCAACAATCCTGGATATGTTCTACATATCTATTCGACTCATTTTCCCATCTCAGTGACAATAGGCAGTGAGAAGCAGTTCGGTGACATTTCTTTCTCCGATTCGCACCACAGTTGTCTATAGATGGAGTACAATAGCATTCCATTTACACATGCAACAATGCACGGTAAAATAATAATGCCATTATAGACAAATCTTGGCTTCAGGAGTAGCGCACGGTTCGTCTGATGCGTGCATTATTAGTGTCCAATATAGGAAAATAAACTTTTTCTACAACTTTGTGACAATTTGAAGACATTTCTATGCAACAATTCAGTTCTACTGAAAACGATAGGTATTTTGAGGCCTCCTATGATAGAGAGTTTGTTTACTGAACCTGTGACAAAATGTAACACATAATAATAAGATTTAACTTATTGGTACGAATCGGCCATTGGTGCAGTTTTTAATTTCATATAAATTCAAGAAGTTGGCTCGCTACAATTTATCCGATGACGAATGGTAAATTGTGTTCGAAAAGTCGCTTAATATCGTTGTGTGATAAATCCGATATACATCACTATGCGTCCTCACGTCTAAGTTACTCTAAGGGGGTATAACTGTTAAGAGGTTAGCAACCAGAGTCACACGTGTGCCCTAAGGGAACCTGAATAAAAAAGGATAACAAGCTGGACTCATTGGAACCAGACAACTAGTTTGAGTGCTAAATCCTCACTCAGTAGCCGATTCAGCGTTAACGTGTTGGTGAGACTCACTATCAGCTTCCTACATATATATATATATACATATATATATCATGCATAAGACATTATTCTCTCGGATTCCCAGTGTAACATATGGCTTCAACAGCTTATTCTCATTTTGTACAATTCTCTGCGGTCCCCATTAGTTGTCCCAATGGTCGACCAAAGGCCTTCATCTCCTCCTCACACGATCTCCTCCATGTTGCCGTCGCTGCCTCATTCGCCCTTTCTCACTAGGGTTTCACTTGAAAGCCCAATCTGCTGTATAACTCAACGGGTTTCTCAATGTGTATTTTGTCTATTTCCATTTCCTTCGACAAAACTTTAGGCAGTATCTTCTTGATTGATTCGTTGTGAGAGTTCCCTTTTGCCAATCCTTTCTGGAACGAAACAGTTTACTGCTCAAAGTCTGCAGCCCGTTAGAAATGCTTTAAGCGATGCACCAATACTCTTAATCATATAGGAGAACTGACCTGGTTATTTGCTGAAAACCAAATTATATTCTTTATGTTGGCGCAGCAGATTTTCACACCTATTTCAGATTAATCAAGGTTCGTCTTGCTTTTCCGAAATTGATTTCGGAAGCCACATACCTGTAGACAAAATAATGCTTCCCAAATGACTGAAAGAAGCAGCCACATTCAAACTTCTTCCTCTGACGATGATCGGTGCTTATTGTTGTTGGTTAATTATCTTCACCACACCCGTCCTCCCTATGTTCACTTGAAGTTTTGTCCTCGCTGGTTATATATCATTTTGGTGGTTTTCACATGTAAGACCTAGAGTGGGTTTAACATTAGACATATAACACCCGCGAAGTCCAGATCTTCCAAACTCTTCCTATGGTTTCAGCCCATTCCCATCTTCTCGTTTCCACAGTTGGACACATTATCCAATCCATCAAAATTAAGAATATCATCGGCGATTCTAGCCTACCTCATCTTACTCCTGTATTCACTTCAGACGCTTCCCTGGGTTTTACATCGTAGATCGTATGAGGCGTGACATTTTCGTTTAACCATTGAATGAGGTTGGTAAAAGTTTTCGGCACGCGTAGTTTTAAGTAGCTTCCAAATTACTTCGCACTCAAAGATGCCCGAATATCTCTGCAAAGGCTCTTAAATTAGAATGGACACTCGACCGCAGTTCAATGCTTTGTTCGATGGTGGTGCGTAGGTCTTATATTGGATAATCAGATAGTTCGCTTTCCCGAATCCCGATTGTTCCGAGCAGACACTTGCACTCACTGCATCTCCTGGCTTCTTCATAGCGACGCAGCTTAACATTTTGTTTGGTGCGAGCAAAAGAACGTTCGTGCGCCAGTTTTTCAAAAAGCCTATGTAACCATTCTTTGGTGGTTTGACAAAGTGGAGTATTATACAAGCCAAGTGAAGAGCCTGGCTTACATGTGGACTCCCCACTAGTCAGACCGGCCATGAATCCTAGTTGGAACTCAGGGACGGATACGACACAGACGTCCGAGTTGATAGTAGGTAAAATCTGGCGGATCTCGCCGGAAAACTCCTGGGAAACTCCAGAAGCTCATATTGAAAGGAAAATCCACCAACTAGGGGACACTTACCTCAAGCGATATTAGTGGTCAATATCTCATTAATTTGGAAATAGCTGAGACATTCATTTCTCCGCCAAATAATCAAATGAAAACCGAATGGTCACAATCCACATCAATCTGCAATGGTTCTGTGCAAAACTACAAATGTCAGCCCAGGAAAGTCTTCAGGTTATCACGGTATGTTAGCATTGGTTCTGGCAGCTGCCACAGAATTGGAGGAGGCTCACACTTCATTACATTTTCAAGGATCAGCAAGTTGGATTGAGCTATAGACCAGTAGCATTGCTTCCAGTGGTATAGAAAATATGGGAAATAACAATGATTTGATTCATCCAAAAATGGTACTGTATCATTAGCACTGACTATCGACCATTTCAGGCAGTATCCCTGCCGAGACCCCATCAACCACAACATGGTGTCAGGAGAGGTAGATTCTGCGCAACAAATCTTTTGTTGGCGTGGAATGATTGGATATCAGGCTGGGATATAAGCGTTCCATTACGTGTGATTTTTTCCGAATTTGTCGAGACATGTGACAAGGTTCTACACAGAACAGGATTACACGTACAGAAAAGAATCCTATGCCGAGACCAACCACGTCCTGTCTCACTGGCACTGCTCGGTCACGAGAGCTTCTCAGGGTTCTATCTTAAGGCACTTCATGTCTTCGATTTTCTTCATTAGTGTGCTATACCATCTGAAATGCATGGCTTTTCTTTATGTCAATTAGGCATGCATCTGCAGAGCGATGAAACATTTGAAACACACGCATTCATTGCAGGCATGCACAGAAGCTCTGGGAAACCGGACAAAAATCATTCGTATGTTATTCTGATAAGACGCAAAGCAGTGTGACTATTTGCCCAGACGACACAGAGATTAAATTAATCCCCGTACTACAACAACCTGTTCTGTGGAGCATCAGGGTGGGAGAATGTTACCCGGATGATTATATGAGGCCATTTGCGGACACGAACTTCAAGCATCAAATGGCTGAGGATTCAAGTGGTCTCCCATTTCTCCTCATTTCGAATTCACCTCCACAATAACCATATAACGGCAGATGTGGCAACTTCACCTTCGATGGAGAGCTTCAAGTGGAGTTCAAGTAATCATGAAGAAAAATAGGAACTATCTACTGAGATATATATAGTGGATATATTCGTCCTTTAGCCTTGTTCATTCTCCAAGATTTCACTCTTATGATCACTCTTCCAATTCGCTCGCTAACTTCTGATTATTAAATCAAGTTATTCATATACTGCGTGCGCTTTGAAAAAGGATAGTAGCATTTTTACGTTGTGAAGTAAATTCTGCTTTTGTTGTTTAAACCGCATCAAAAGCTTTTTAGTTCACTTTAACTGATTTATTTAGTTGAAGTATTGTTCATTTTATTCACATTTTGTGTTTTGGTTGGTAGTAACCTCACTGTTTTCACGTACATATATTTGTATAGTTTTTAACAAATTAGAGTTATGGGCCCGACTAACAACTGTGGACGACCGGACTGCCACTTTCCGGTGGATGATTGGATCCAGTGTGACAACTGCAGCCTATGGTTCCACAAAGTTTGTACTGGTTTATCACCAGTAGCCTATAAGAGATGTTGCAAGCCATCATCTCCATGGCTGTGCAAATTTCGCAGTAACCCGTTGGATGTCCTCATCCAAGAGGCAATAGGACTCCTGATGTCCAAGAAATTGTCGAAAAATATAATCGAAGAGCTTGCACCAGAAATCTTAACCAAGAATGGCGGTTCAGGACTTAGTTTTAAAACTCCAGAGGAAAAGAGGCACAAAGGGCTCAAATATCTGTTGCGACAAAGTGCAAAAAAGGAAATCCCAAAGGGCAAGAAGTGCCAGCATGGTAACACCAGCCTGTGAAATTGCCACGCCAAAGCTCAGCGTGCACGAATGGCTTCTAGTCGCGGCGAAAACAAAGTGGAAGAAACCCACTCCACTTGGTTGGTGCCGACAGGTCAGAAGCTAAACAAACGTAAGAAAGAAACAGTAACCGAGTTTACCAACAAGGTCTCGACGGCCATTAATACCAGCCAAACTCCGAAACTCACAGACTCTGTGCGTCGGTGGCACAGTGGTTAGGACTCTCGCCGACCATGCACATGGTCTGGGGTTCGATCCCCTGCCGGCGCACACCCGATATCTATGGTTGGCCTGAATTTGGGCTACCGATATCCATGCTGAAAATTCCATACTTGTACTGAAAATACGGTGTGGAATCAAGCTGTAAATCAAAAATAAATAAAAAAATAAAAAAATAAAATAGTTACAGCGTAATTATCTGGAATTCAGAGGAATCTGAGAACACAGATCTAGGTACCCGATATGCAGATGATCTGAAGGCGGTTAGCTGCATTATCCAAGAAATACCTCCTGAAAAAACAATTGGAGTTCACATAAGAAAGGCCATCAGGATCGGAAAAAAACCCTGACGCTACGAAAAGTTCTCGATGACTACTTAAGGTGGTTTTAGGGAACGAAACAGAGAGAAGCAACATCCTCAAAAACGCGTTGAAAATCAACGATAAAAGTTTAAAAATAAGGCCTAATTGGCCTTCAGAAGATAGAATCAGAAGAAGAGAAGCCGTGGCTGAACTAAAGGCCAGGCTAGAGGAAGGCGTAAAAGACCTCAAGCTATTGGGTTTTCGGGTGGTGAGGTTTTAGAAACCGATGCTGCCAAGACCCCTCTTCATAAGCCGGATGGACACGTGGGTGTTTCGGTGTGCTATACAAACGCATGTAGTCTTAGGAATAAGCTCGCCGAATTAGGAGAATTACCTAAAAGACTACAGCCTGATGTGATTGCTATCACTGAGACATGGTTGTTAGTGGGTGTAGACTTAACTCCACTGATACCTGAGCACATCTGCATTCGAGCAGACAGAGTAAGTAGTCGGAAAGGTGGGGGTTGCTCTATACATTAGGGATGACATAGAGATTAGGTCAACGTTGTCAGAAGCTCATGACTGTGGCACCAGTGAAGCCACAAGTTGCGTCACTAACTTGAACAAAGACACCTTAACGATTGGAGTTATTTACAGAAGTCCTACTCGCCAAGCTGATGACTTCGTTCTAAATCTCTTGAGGGCGTGGGGTAGTAGAAATAGGTGTCTGGTTGCTGGCGACTTTAGTGCTCCACATATTAATTGGGGGGAATTAAACTCCACTAGTTTGTATACCTGTTTCAATAGGGAGCTCACACTGACAGTGCTTGAATGTGCACTCGTGCAACAAATGCATGCACCAATACGGTATCACCCGGAACATGATCCTCTACTCTAGACTTGGTATTAACACACCAGAAGGAGGACGTTGGTAACATTAGGTGCTTTCCGCTTGGCAGCAGTGACCACATAGTCATTGCTTTTACGTTGAAGATTCATTCTCTCATACACAGGTCAAAATCTGCTCGTCCAAACATTTGGAAAGCGGATATACGGGGAATCCGGAACGCAGCAACTGCAGTTGACTGGTTAGTTGATACGAGTCTGACTGTCGAGGAAGCTTGGGTGAGATTTAGGAATACACTAGATTGTGTCACTTCACCTATTTTCAAAATGTCTCTGACCCAGGCTTAGCTACCCAGGGGTGCCATTATTAGCCCTACCTTCAAAGGGGGGGGGGACAAGCAATTGGTATCTAACTACCGGCCAGTGAGTCTGACATGCATAATGGCAAAGGTATTGGAAACTATTATAAGGGATCAGCTATTAGCTTATATTGAAAAACACGGTTTGTTGGCTGTGGAACAGCATGGATTCTGACCAGGACGATCATACCTGACAAACCTACTATTGGCTAGGGAAGAATGGGTTGAGGCCAGAGATAAAAACCTTCTGTTAGACGTGGTTTTTATCGATCTTAGCAAGGCATTCGACAAAGTATGCCACTTAGGTCTCCTTAGTGAACTTTAAGGTTTCGGACTAGACCAATGCCTATGTGAGTGGTTAAGGAATTACCTAATGGATGGAAGGCAGAAGGTTAGAGTTAACGGTGTACTATCAGGGTGTAAAGCAGTATCCAGTGGAGTGCCTAAGGAGAACGGTTTTAGGCCCCTTGCTATTCCTAGTATACGTTAATGAACTACTGGGGATTCTTACTTCATCTTCATTATTATTTGCGGACGACATTAAGATCTGGAAAACTGTAAATAATAACCAGGATAGGTCGGCCCTACAAACTGATCTAGATAAATTAGCTGAGTGGTCGAACCTGTGGAGTTTGGAAATGAATTCTAGGAAAAGCGCGGTAATGCACTTAGGTCAGAAGTCTTATACGTCGTACTCCCTAGGGGACATAAAACTACCTGATGTTAACGAACAGAAGGACCTAGGAATCATTGTCAGCAATGATTTGAAAACAACTGCAAATTGCAATGCAGCCACAGCTAAGGCTTTTCGAATGCTATGGGCACTTCGAAGGGCTTTCAAGCGATTAGACGATGGCATGTTCCAAATACTCCACACAACATATGTCAGGCCTCATTTAAAAATACTGCATACAAGCGGCTAGTCCATGCTTAAAAAGGAGGCATATATCCTGGAAAGAGTACAGAGGGTAGGAACAAAATTAGTTAGTGGTATCTCACATCTTCCTTATGATAAGAGGATGGAGCATTTAAATCTCTTCCTATTGTCATACCGAAGGAAGAGAGGCGACTTAGTTTTAGCATACCGTATACTTAAGGGTGATTTAGGAACTGACCTTTCTAAACTTTACTCCCCATTTAGGATGGGAGGGAGTCACCGCAGAAAGGTGCTCAAACCAAGGACGATTAAAATACGTGCAGAATTTAGATTCTCTCACAGTGGTCAACGATTGGAACTCCTCATCTGATTCAGTAGTATCAGCTCCATCGGTGAACGCTTTCAAAGAGAAGTTAGATCTCCGCAGAGATATATTCTGCAAGGATTAACACAGGCCACAAGAGCCTTCTATCCTTATCATCTGAATCTGAATATTAAATTGTTCTTTTTCCTTTCTAAGCCTCCACTAATTGAATAATAATCTCCCTTCCGACCACACTGGACGACTAACATGTGAAGAGATTAACTGGTGAAAAGAGATATCAGAAGTGAATGTCAAGAGATTATTTTTATCTATAATAGTTCATAGAAGAGGACATTGCATCTTGTAGATCTTGTAGTGAATGTATGTTGGACATTGTACCTTTGTTGCTTAACCTTGTACGAAGTCAAATTTAAGGTTATTGTTGTTGTTTACGGTGTGAGTTGATGGAATTTATTGAATTCAAGCCATTATACGGTACAGAGACACGCACAAAGGCTGTGGAATGCATTTTAGAACCACTGATTGCAAAGGTGAAGAGTTTTGCACGGAACAGACACATCACTGGAGCATACCAGCCCAAGTCCAAACCACAAGACGAGATTTTATCGAAGATCAAAGAAGTAACTTATGATGAAGATTTTAAGATATTCTTGTTCAGGTTTTAAAATCTATAGGCGATAACTTTAGCGTTACTGAGAGTGTTCCATCGCTGGTATCGGACTTTCTAACTGCTAAGACAGACGTTCTTGATACAGGAGAGTACTTTTATTCCACAGTCTCCAAATTCCTTTCCGACCCAGTGAACACGTCGTATCAAGGTGACGTGTGTCGAGCCATCAATACCCTTCTTGCTGCTCTGAGTAGACTACTTATCTTGGCCGATATAGCTGATGCTCTGATTCTCAACCAACATTTTGAGGTTGTGCTTAGCGGAATAACAGAATTTCAAACGGTTGCATCTCACCGAGTAGGTGGTGTGTTTTTGTGATGTTTGTTTTACGTAGAATATGTCCAGTTATACAAATGTTATTTATTTTTATTTTCGTATATTTGCAATTTGGACGGTTACTAGATATCATGTTATTAACTCTTCATAAAATGATTTCCTGTTTCACATCCCAGTGTACACACCTCTTTGAAAAAAAGTAAGATTCTGGATTCAGGAACTGTACTTTGCGGCATAGTACTTTGATGATTTCAAGCATCATTTAATGCCTCATGCTATGAATATGGCAAAAGTCGGATTTAAGAGCATTTCATTCACCTTGGAATATGATGCAGGTGGAATGCGTTAAACGTACAGGATCTCAGTTATTCTGCTTAAAGTGTGATGTTAAAGTAATTCTAATCAGCATAGCATATGTAAAATTTTACCTGGTTCATTACAGTTTTTTGGACTGGTCATTGACGGAAAATATATGATTGCCATCTAATTGAAAGCTGTTACCGCTGTTGAGGCTCTGATAGTTAAAGGATATCAAATGGTGAAGATATTTCAAATGGAACCAGTATGACCACTGCAAGTATAATCCACAGACAGTGTAGAGAGCTCTGTGAAACCAAACACCGCTCGTCATTTTGGAATCACACGTTTTATTATCTAGCACTTGAATCCAGATTTACTGTCTTAACATGGTCTGTCTGATCAGTGATAATTGGAAAATAATCGCCTTCCTCATTGAGGAATGTTATCTGACATAGGGAAAGAGTTAGGATTGGTTAAACCTAACTGTGGCATCACCCTATGAAATCTTTGACTGTTGGTTTGAGACACGTGGGGAGATGTAAACTGTTGTCTGGGAACGTTCGGTGAAATTGCTTAAAATCGTTCTAAATAGGGCAGATACATTCACTCTTCATATATTCCAGATACATTGCATCTTCATCACCCTTCATATCGTGCATTTCCTTTCGTTATAGCTCCTTTACGTTGTTTCTACATTTGTATGCTCCATGAAGTGTGGTGACTGAAACTGTTGCATTTTTGTGTTAAGTTCTGCGTTGAGAACCTATTCACCTTGGAAATGGAAATCAGATGCTAAATTTGGACTCATATTTCCTGCAGTAGTATTTTAAAATTAGTACTTTGAAAACTCTGGAATCTATTCTCATCTATTTGTTTTCTGATCCCCTTCCACTGTTATCTTTCCCAAGTGACCATTATATAAACAGCTTTGATAGGTTGATTTTATTTAGCAATTGACACACATGTACAAGAAAATCAATACAAATCTATGAGTATGAATGAGCCGCATGTATTGCACATAGTCTGTTACTATTTTTTGTAGTGAATACTGGTGGGGCCACCTAGCTGTCTAGGTTAAAGTAGGTGAGGCGTGATTCAAAACTGGCACCTAATAGCTAAAAGTCAAGTGCTCAAAGCGGTGAACTATATCATATGCAGTCTAATGGTGCCACTTACTTATCCTAATTATAGTAGGTAAAGTGAAGTTTAAAATCGTGACCCAATTTTGAAAAGTTATTCAAGTATTTAAATAATGGTTCCTATATTTTATTTCGGAATTTGAAGAACACGTGCTTTGAGATGGAAACCTTTTTCAAGGTGTTATATTGATAGGGGTACCAGTATGTTTACGAATCTCTTTCTGTATACTCCTTAATATGTCATACTGTTTCTGTACTTGTGAATTCCAAAATTTATTGGTAGATTTCACTCAACACCAGTGAGTTGATTGCCAAGTGGAGAGGCATTTCAGTATAAGAAACGGTATTAAAAACCAACTTTCCTTATTCCTAGAAATGGCATGTCTTTAGTAACCATTATGCTTTTCAAATTTGAAACATTGATTGGATTTCGTTCACATGTCCTTTTATTTGCTATTTTTCCTAAATAATTTAGGAGCTTAACCGCTTGTGGAATAACTTCCACCCTCGTGTATTACAACTTATCAATTTGTCAAGTAAACGTGCAGCTGATTTAATTGATCCTGAAGACCGGAGAAGAATTGAATCTTCCAACTACATATTAAAAAACAATACTCCATTATTACATACATCTTGTAAAGTAAGTCACCTTAATGAATTATGCAGATTAACGAGCTCATTTAACTTTATGGTAAGACAAGTGTGCACATGAACTTTCTCAGTTTCTGAATTTTTCGAGAATCATGATTCTAAATGCCATTTCAACTATCGAGTTATTTTAGCAAGCGAGTAGTATCTTTTGTGTAGTGTATTACGTGTGTTTCTTGGTGTATTGGTTTGCCACTACTTTATTGGGGCTTCTGGTTTTAATTTGTGTAACCACCTGCACGCATCTCATATCAAATGTGAAGTCGTTAAGTCACTTGAATTAGCAATTAATTTATTTACTTTAATGGATTTCAAGTTATAAAAGCACGACGTTGAGCGAATAAGCTACCGGCTTGAAACCTACTCCACTTCAGCGTAGGCATCCGGGTAGTATAATCAGCCCTCACACAATTAGTGTGGCTCAAAAACTGGTACATCAAAAAATGCTTTGGGCAAGTAAGTTTTAGGTAATTAAATAATTAGATGGCTACAGTTGAATTCCGTGAAATTACCCACTCTAGTTTAATTTTTAGGATATGCTCATATAGCTTCTTTGACTTATTGATCAAGGAAAATTCTGTCTCCGTTATTTTCAGGTGTGTTTACGATATCCTGACCTCCCAATCGCACGTGACTCAAGAAGTTTTGTTTCGAATTCCTTATCGGATTCGGTAGAGATAATTCAATCAGTTTTCAATGGAGTTCACAAATCTAATGGTATTCGATTACCAACTTCTGGCAAACTTCTAGAAGCTCTAAATGGGTTCGAAGTAATGTATTTTTTGTTATTTCTATACAAAGTTTACTGTGGTTATGGTAAACCATTTTATTTATATACTGTATAACAGTTTGTTGTATTTATGTTTATATGTTGTACTCGCGGAATATTTCTTAAGTGTATAAGTTAACAAAAGTCGCGACCTCAATGTAGACAGGCGGTTTAGGGGTGTATTCAGGTAAAACTTTGGCATTCTAAATGATGGGTGCAGCTCCCTGGTCTTAGTTTGAAAACTACTGCACTGAGATGCAGGTTCATTCAACTAACAAACCCGATTGAGGCAATGCGCGCATTCTTGATTCTATTTCTATCAAATAAACAACTTAGTGTTACGATTCAACCATATACTATGAGCATTGGGATATTAGTATCTGATATAAAATTGTTATTCTGTAGAGTAATTAAACGTTTTCACACATTATTCTCCTCCCTTTACTTTTAACAGTCTAATAGTATTGTTCAAGGTTACTGTGTTCCAACTTTCGAGATATGGTTCAGTGGTTTAAGCACTTGGTTTTCAACCAGTTGGTCGTAGGTTTGAATGTCATTTCAACTACTTCAACTTGAGTGACTGTCTGTCTGTAGTAGAAGAAGTGACTGTGTCATATTCTCAGCCCCTATGTGACAATTATGGCTCATAACCTGATACATGAACAATACGTTAGGGTGGCACAGTGGTTAGGACTCTCGCCGACCATGCACATGGTCCGGGGTTCGATCCCCTACCGACGCACATCCGATATCTATGGTCGGCCTGTAAAATTTGGGCTGCCGATATCCATGCTGAAAATTCCATACTTGTACTGAAAATACAGTGTGGCATCAAGCTGTAATAAAAAAAAATGGAGTTTCAAGATAATATTCCAACAAGTACAAGCAGGCCAAAAGGACAAACTTACGCATTATTTGATTATATGCTCTTTGTGTTGTTAGACTGTAATATGAATATGCATTGGTTCAAGGTGTAGTGAGTTCCAGCAGTTAAAAAGTTCTTATTATATTGGTTGGAGGATTTCATAATGAGCTGACATCAGTTAGAGAACCATTGGAAAACCAGCTGGGAGTACTGGACAGCTGTTTCGTCCTAGTGGGAAGCCGTGACCAGTAGGGTGAAGCAGGTTGAAGGTGAGGCAGTAACTCATCAAAGAAGACATTGCGAAGTGGTCGCACTATGTCATAAATTGGCAGAAGTTGGGATTCATGAACTGGCCATTGGATCGGGTCCCAGTGGCTTAATGGTCTACGAGCTAGCTAGCCTTGTAGCCAGAGGGTACTGGGTTCGAACCCCTGTGGTGGATACGTACCGCTGAGGAGTCCCAAAACTAGGGCGAAACAGCTGGTTGTCCAGTACTCCCCGCAGGTTTTCCAATGGTTCTCTAACTGATGTCAGCTCATGATGAAATCCTCCAACCACTCAAACTAAATCCCTACAAAAATGAATACTTGAAAATTCTTATTACGTATACATATATATATATATATATAATGAATTTCTAGGTAGATAAGAACATAACGCTTTTTATGATAGATGGTTTTAAGGTATATCCTAATATTTCTGCTTGATGGGATTACATCCTAACATTTTATCGGTCTAAGATGGTTGTTATGTAATGTATTTCTGAGTGTCCACCCTGTTTCCAAGTGTTACTGTAATCTTACAGTTGCACAATCGATAGATATGTAACGAATATCACATAAACTTTCAAGTTATTTGATATAATGTAAATGTTAAGTGTAGTAGTGCACATTTAATTAGTTCGGCACCCCTATATATGGTGTACATTCTCATCATGATTACAATTGTGTAGTTCTGTAAGTTACGTTGCTATTGTTTACTGTGGCTTTTTATTACCTCTTTCATTTTAGAATAGCATATTTACTAATCCAACAGAGAAATCTACTGCTAATGTTGGTGAATTTCTTCAGTCTTCTTTAAGAAAACTTATACCACTAGTTTATAAATTGGTTGATTCATCTAAAATCAGTTCAAAACGCCGTTCCACTGTCGATGAACTTTGTAATCAGCTTAAAAATGTTACATCTGAATTAGTATTAGCGTATTCTAAGGAAGTAAGTGTAGTTCTTTTGTCTATTCTTTTTTTCTTAACATTTTTTAATAGTTGTAACTTACTGTTGTTTCTTGTTATGTTAGTACATCACCAGAGCGCCTGTGGTACGCTTTCATTTAAGAGTAGTGTGTGTGTGTAAGGAGAGAGAGAGAGAGAGAGAGAGGGAGGAATTTTGTCATTGTGGTAGAATTTAATCTCGCATTGAATGTATGTTTCATACGGTAGTGTAATTTAGTGAATGGCATTCCGGGCAAAATATATTACCCATATATGCACTAACACAGTCGCATGCTATGGAATTAAATCTAGTGTGTGTGAGTGAAATCATGACTGTTTTGTATGATTGTTTATTTAGCTAGTTAAATTGGAAATTTCATAACTGTTGATGGTGGAAAATTTATGTAACGAGGATCTTAGATACTATGTTCTCCTTGTGGATGTCCTTGTAATTGATAATTTTGTTTGGCTGAAGTCAATGTGAGATTTTATTTCACTGGTTCGTTACTTTATCCATTCGACTGAAAAAGTGATAAAACAAGCTGTAATAAGACAAAGCAAGCCACTGCCTGTATCATTTTAATTAAGCTGTGAAAATTACAGTAAACGTCACAAGTTAGGAAAAGCGTATTTTTGTTATTGTAAGTTTACATAACAGGTTAAGCGTTTTCCAATCAAAAGTCTGGTATTAGTAAAGTAATAAATAAGAGTATTACAGTTGTTAGAATGAATTTAAAATAGTATTTTTGATACGGTCAAGTTGGTTTTGAAATTATCGGGTTATGGAAAGCTTAGATCGATTCCGAACCATCCTAATAGTCATTTAATTGAATTAACCTGAGACCGAGCACTTCGGTCCAGTCAATCGATGGGAAAATCTAAAATTCAATTAAATCATTAATATGACCCGTCGCACAAGAGGCGGCTCTCGTGGCCCAAGTGGTCTGGTGGATAACGCTTTGGCACTGGTCACTGGGTTCGAGCCTCGGTGGGAACATCATCACTCACTGGGGAATGTAGGCACATCCAGATGACGAGTCCCAAATAGGACGAAATGCGCATCCTGGATTCCACTGCTAGTCACCATCCACCAATTACATCCTAATAGTCGTCTCTATGCATAAATCTTTGTCATTTCAAGGAAGTGTAATATTATGTATCTTTAACCTTTACCTGGTTTGTAACTGGATTCCATTGACATGAAAGTGGAGGGAATTTTTCCATATTTCTTAGACCATTTGTCCTCAACTTACTCATTGTGTTAATATCTTTGTACTGTAAGAATGATAGTAACTGGATATTTGCTCTGAACAAATGCCTCACCGCTACATGAAGAATTGTGTACGGTTACCTTTTACCAACCTTCTTTGATGGATAAACTGATGTTTTACTCATATCAAAAAGTGATGAAATTCGATACAATTTATTGGAATGCCTACATGTGTGTTCTTATAGTTGAAGGCGTTGCTTTTTTTTCAAATTTTCATTGTGTTGGATTTTTTAAATCACCAGACAGACTAATGAAAAAACTTCATTTTTACAATCATGCCAAGTAATCCACAACGGGAAACTTACGGAATCCTTCGAAGTGAGGACAGGAGTAAGACAAGGCTGCCTACTATCGCCAATGATTTTCCTGATTGCAGTAGACTGGATAATGTGACAAACAGCGGGCAATGAGGAAACAAGCATAAAATGGACTCACACAAAAAACTTTGAGGATCTGGACTTCGCCGATGATATATGTCTGATTTCCCACAAACTGGAAGATATGCAAGTGAAAAGCAACAAGTTGGCAGAAAAGCATCCAGAGAAGATAGGACTTCAGGTGAACATAGAGAAAACAGAGGTGATGAAGATTCCTGGGAACACCACCAACAGCAACAACAACAACAGACAACAATCAGCATAAATGGAAGGAACCTGAAAGAAACAACCTCCTTCACCTACCTGGGAAGCATCGTTTCAACTACAGGCTAACGGAACTGACGAGGATATCAAAGCAAGAATCGGAAAAGCAATACAAGCTTTCACTACTCTCAAGTCTGTGTGGAGGTCAACAGCACTCAGCATCAAAAATAAGATCCGGATTTTCAACTCCAATGTGAAGTCAGTGCTACTATACGGATCAGAGACTTGCACTGCGCGTCATAAAGAGCATCTCAAACAAACTACAGACCTTCATTAACAGTTGTCTTCGTTCAATACTCAAGATCAGATGGCCAGAAAAGATCAGCAACAGAGATCTCTGGCAAGCGAACCAACACAGGAACCGATTGTGAAACAAATAGGCAGGAAGAAATGGAGATGGATTGGCCATACTCTGAGGAAACCATCAAGTGACATTACTAGACAAGCCATTGCTCGAGTGGAACCCGAAAGGGAAGCGGCGAGTTGGTCGTCAGTGCAAGGTTGACTTGGAGGAGGTCATGTGAAGAGGAGATGAAAGCATGTGGGCAGACTTGGAGCCAGGTGAAGACTAGCAGAGAACCGAACGCAATGGAGACGCACGGCTGAAGCCCTATGTTCCTCTAGGAATTAAAGGAAACAATAATATATAATAATAATCATGATATATACAGAAATCCTGAAATTATAGGGATTCTTCTCATTTCTCACTTTGACTATCTTATTAGAAAGTGAGTTCTTGAAAAATCAGTGGCAAGTTGACTGCAGGAGAGTGTGAAGGGAAGAGTTGAATACCTTTTTAGGAATTGTTAGATTTTTGTTGCTGTGTACCACTCCACCTTTATTGATGGAGTTAAATAATTTCTAACAGTGTGATCCTGTGATAATGGCTACAAAAGTGATGAATTGGTGGTGATTTAACATTTTGGGTGTAAATTATTGTAGAGTGATGTAGAGGTAAGCTGTAACAAGTTAAAGAAAAAGTCTGAAAAACATTTATCAGCAATATGGTGTAATTTTAACTTCATGAAATTGCTATACTTCGTTGAATCTGACTAATAGTAATAATAACAATGGGACTGGCCCTATTCAGGTAGGTAGTTACCTGGGTTCTAGTGGGAAGTCGTGACCAGTGGGGTACAGCACGTCGGGCGTGAGGACAGATAGTCGCCGATGACATTAGCTAGTGGTCGCACTATGTCGTGAATTGGCAGAAGTTGGCATACATGGACTGGCCATCGGATCGGGTCCCAGTTGTTTAATAGTCAATAAGCTCGCCTTGTAGACGGAAGGTCATGGATTCGAACCCTGGAGGTGGATGCGTGGTGATGAAGAGTCTCAAACTAGGCTGACGAAACAGCTAGCTGTCCAGTACTCCCAGCTGGTTGTCCGATGGTTCTCTAACCAATGTCAGCTCATGATGAAATCTTGTAAACAATGGGACTCTTTTCGAATATAGCTGCGATAATTAAAGCTAGTCATTTTTCTTAATTTTCTAAATTTCCAAATTAGTTCGTATTTTGCAAATTAATTCACAATTCACACAGTTCGAGGTGATTATTTCCCCATAGTTTCCTTTAGAAACTGAGATTATTCAAATCTCAATATACGACCTGCTTGATACCGTGTATGGTAATCAAGAAACCAAGCGTGAATGCGTAAAACTATACACTACTGAGTGGTTGAGATGAGTAGTTGTTAACCATTCACATCAACCAGATTGAAGTTATCTAAACACTGGACTGTCGTTTCGTCCGTTTAGGGTCGAGCTCATCAGCGGTGTGCCCGGTTTGACTCAGCTCAGATGGCTCAATCAGTTCAGATCACCCGATTTCTGACTGGCTGAATCATACCTGGTACACCAGTGTTGAGCTTGGCTCCAAACGAGTGTAAAGACCATCCGTTGTTTAGATAACTTCGATTTGGCTAGTGAACACCACTGGTTGATGTGAGTGGTTGACAACTACTCATCTCAGTCAATCAGTAGTATATAGTATAGTTATTTTTTCCCTTCTAGGTTTTTCATTATCTACAATTTAATCAATATCGGCGTATGCAACACTAGCTTTCTGTGTATTGGTGAATATATTAGCATTAGTAAACTGGTAAATTGTTGTATCAATGTTTCGATTCTTTCATAATGTAAACCCATAACTATCTCACTGATGATATATTAAGTGTAGCTTAATTTATACTTCAAGAGTTTCCTATAATATATCTTTCTTCTTCTTCTTCTTATATTAGCCAGTCAATAGTAGACATGTGGATGACATTATACAAAAGTTGTTAAAAACAACAAGTTCATTAAAACAATTACTTATACGTTGTGCTATTGATTATACTTCAAATGCTTTCATGGCTAAAGAGGAATGTTTAATGGCGTTAAGTGATGCAACTAAATTTGGGTCTGAACAACGAATAGATGCTGCATCTCAACTATTTCAGGTAATTTATCCTTTATTGTTTCAATTTTGTATATTATTATTATTTCATTCCTTTGCATTCCGAGTGGAACATAGGGCCTCAAGCTTAAGCCTTGGAGTTTCAGTAACAATGGTGTTTATTTTTACGGGGTGGAGTTGCTAGCCTCACACCCAAATTTCCTTCTTTACCGAGCTTGTAACTGGCTAAGGGAGGTAAAGGTGTGCACCGGTTGGGAATTGAACCCCGGACCACGAGCATGGTTGGTGAGCATTTTACCGCTGCACCACTGACGCACTCAATTCTGTATAACTAAACAGAAATTGTCAACTTGTATGATTATGAGCAATAGTTTGTGCTCGAAACGTCATCAGTTAATATAACTGTACAACACTGTGTGATTTATCAAAATAAAATCTTAACCATTATGGAGAAATTGTCAATATATTTTTCCTTCATGTCAGTTTTTTTATCAGATGTGCGTCCACTTTGCTAGCTTTTGTAGTTCACAACGTTACTAGATTAGATCTTTAGATTTCAATTCGATAAATATCTCAAGGTTTGTCTTCTTCTTTCTTTTATCCCTCACGTTCCCCAGTGGAACATAGGGCTTCAAGCTAGTGGCTTGAAGTTACTGTAGCAGTGTTTATTTTTACAGGATGGGGTTGCTAGCCTCATGCCCAACCTTTCCTCTTCACCAGTATTATTTCTGGCTTAGAGAGGTAAAGGAGTGCGTTGGCCGGGGATCGAACCCTAGACAATGTGCATGGTTGGCGAGCGTCCTAACCGCTATGTCTTATTGACTAGTAATATTTATGCTAACAGAGAATTTTTGAATTCAAACCTGTTTTATGGATACTAAATGAATTACTATGTTATTATTATTATTACTCACGAAAAGAACTCATCCAGACATAGAAATGAGAACAAACAATTCAGCTCCATTTCAGTGGACCGTTTTTCAAACTTGCCATGAAAATATCTGCAAATACTGAACCTAATAGTGAACCCATAGCTACACCGTCTTACTGTCTGTGAATTAGACTTTCAGAATGCATCTCAGTAGAATTTTTTTTCACTCTGGGATTCTGTAATCGAATATTCAAGTTGTTGTGTCTTCCATTTATTTGTAAAGGAAGCAAATCGTCTCCCTAATTGGGACGTTTGTGAAGAGTGACTTGACATCGAGTGATATAGCAAAAATATTCATTCAGACATCTATAAAACACAAAATAATCGAGCAAAGAATATTCTTTTCGATAAATTCCTCTTCCAGGCTCTACAATTATAGATATGCTTATATACACAGAATATTTTAAATTAGTAGTTAATAACAATATTAGCGTTTTTTAAAATAATATCGATTTGTAAAGTATGATCAATGCTATTACAGTTCATTAACGATGCTTAAATTATAATAATAATAAAGATATAATAGCGAATAGAATATCAACTAAAATTAGGGAAATTTCACAAAAATTCTGAATTATTCAAACCTGGATGGTCAAGGTAATGATAATGACTGAACTAACTTCTTTTGGGTGCATAAATTAGGCTTATTAATATGGATCCCCACAGCCTCAGCAATATTTAGTAATCGAACTCTTAAGGCGAAATTGAGATTCGTAGGTATGCGGTAAATGACCCTGAAAGCATGATTAACGTCAATCTTGTGTTCTGTCTCCACAAGATGAGATAGAATAGCGCTGCGAATAGATTTTGTTTGACCTTTGCTTAACCAGGCAGGGTGATATCATGCATCTGTCGCCTACTTTCACTTCTTTAAAACAGTTCCGTGTGGAGCATAGGGCTTCAGCAGCATGTCACCATTTCACTGTGTTCACTTCAACCTTTCTTAGCTCACTCCACGATTGCTCATAAGATTTCATTTCTTACTCACACGGTCTCCTCCATGTCACCCTTGGATGGCTAACCCGTCGCTTCCCACTTAGGTTCCATTCAAGAGCATTGCGTGTGTGTGCGTAATGTCGTTCAACGGTTTAAGTCTAACCCAATTGTAATAGCCATTATAATAATAATTGAAAATCAGCGGTTTTCATTACTCGTAAAACTACTTTTAATCTACACCTAACTAAGTATTATTATGAATACACAAGATGCCAGCGATTTTTTTTGTCTCTGTGTTCTTTTTTTCCACTTTTAGAAACGTTCTGTATCTATGATATCATCAGCTTATCAACTCTGTTCATTAAGTATGGATGAAGAATCGTCTAGTAAAATTCAGTTAGCCTGTGAACAAATGGAACAACTTGTACCACAAGTTATTAATATGGCTTATTTACTATTCAAATATCCTTCATCTAAGGTAAAAGCTATACATGTGTATAACTTTTTTGCTTTTTGAATATTTCTGCTTTTATTATAAGTTTTGTAATGACAAGTAGTGTACCATAGGTTAAAAATGTCTTCATAACTATTGTTATATTTAGTACTGAGCTGTTTCTTAGAATGAACTCGATTAGTTGAACAGAGGTTGTAAAAGATGAGTCGTTTACAGGCTTTCAGAATTGATTGTTTAAATACCAGGCGGCAAGTTTTGATGGATAATGGGAGTAATCTGTATCTGTCCTTCAGTCGCCTATTATTTAGCTAAAACTGGAACCACATAACCTTGATTGTGATTAGTTATCTTCAGTAAATTTCTTACCGTTGTGTTTTTTCGAGTCGGTGTTAATTGTTTGTTTCATTGACTTGGTATTTAATTATGCAACTTGTTATTGGTTGATCAGTAAAGTTGATCTATATCAGAATGTTTCTTAAGTGTAGACTGATCCGAGTATCAGTCTCCTAGAAACTCTTTGGCATTCTTAGTATTTCCTGCGTTCAAAGACATGACATGTATTTTCTTATGTCAGTGCATGTGGACAAATAAAGACACTATTTTGACTGAAACATCGTATAGATTTTGAACGCGGTACTAAAGCATCCACTTGAGCTATAAATCCCATCTATTCTTTCAAAATCTGACGAGCACACAGTTCTTTCTTTTGTTTTGTTTGAAAATACGAAACTATAGAACGCACTTTGTATTATTATTGGTATTGTTTCCATAGTTTAGATATAAGTAATGATAGAAAGCATGAGTCGATATCTGTATTATTTAATTTAATTATTACTTCATTCAATAAAATGTTAGGTTTTCTTTACATTTTTTCAAATTTATCATTGAGCAACTCCTTATCAACATAGAAATTTGCGTAATTGTGTAGTGATCCCATTTCTCACACATATTTTGTCTACACGTCAAGAAGAAAAGTAATAATGAAAAAAGATTAACAAAACAAGATTGCTGATTGTTGATTGCTTCAAAACAAAAGTAGAAGACAGAGTTACGTCTACGGCCTGTACATCTACAGTAAAAATAACTTAGAATGATGGTATTGGACACTAGGAGTTACCGTCATTTCAGGTGAAAACTAAGTAAAAGCTCTTACATGGTTGCATGAATTTGAGTACACTTTCTTAGTATTTCTCTAACAACCGGAAATTGCTACAACACCTCTCGAACGTTGGTATCAAACGCTTCTTTCAGGTCAAGAAATACGGCAAGTTCAAGTGTTGGTTTGCGGGGATTTGATTTGATTGGTTACAGGATTTCATCATGAGCTGATATCGGTTAGAGAACCATTGGAAAACCAGCTGGGAGTACTGGACAGCTAGCTGTTTCGTCAGCCTAGTTTGGGACTCTTCATCATTCCGCACTCATCTCCATGGTTCCAACCCAGCACCTTCTGGTTATAAGGCGAGCTTGTAGACTATTAAGCCACTGGTACCCGATCCGATGGCCAGTCCATGTATGCCAACTTCTGCCAATTCACGACATAATGCGACCACTAGCTAATGTCATCGGCGACTATCTGTCCTCACACCCGACGTGCTGTACCTCACTGGACACAACTCCACTAGAATCCAGGTAAATACCTACCTGAATAGGGGCCAGGCGTTGGGCATCTGGGAGTATGTCTGTGCTCAAGAATCTATTTAATGATTAAGACTTGGTTAATGCACCCTTTTAAAAACCTCAAACCTCCATGGTCTTCACGTACTCACTTTTTCTGGGTCCCACATAATCTTCGTATGTCTATGAACCCTGAGATGTTAGATCATCCACTAGTCAAGTTAATCCTCTTGTGATTATTACAAGAAGATTTTCCCCCATCCTTATTTTAATGGGATCATCAACAATTAATACCAATATGGCATGGGATATCTCACATCTTCATGCTTTATCTATTGTCATTATCACTATTCTTAAAAGCCTCTGAAGTCCAACTATAAGGTCCTGTTGCTAAGCGTTTTTAGATTAGCAACATGTTTTTGAGTTTCGGCTAAATTTGTAGGATTCATTCTGGATTTCGATAATGAACAACCATAGCGTAGTCATGTCTTTCTAACTGCATCCTGCTTTCACTAACATAACATGTCGAGGTCGACAGTGAATAGGTAGGTGCGACAACACATACATGAGATAGTAGTATATAACTTGGCTTATATTTTTATCTTGGACCTTAACGCCTAACTTCTGCGTTGTTCACATGACAATTCTGCCAAATGTAAGTCATACTACGAAGGTAACATTGCTCAAATAATTAACGTGTTCATAAATTTGTCTCCTTTTGATGACTATTTTCATTATGCCGTTTTATTATTTCTTTATATTATATAGTCTGTTGAATCAAATTATGAAGCATTTCGTAAGGCATATGAAGAAGCTGTGAATTTATTGTACACTTGTGTCAATGATTTAACTGGTATGCATGATTTTCTAGCTGTCTCTGATGATCTAATGATGATGGAATATCAAAAGTCAATTCGTGCCTTATCAGTAAGTTTTTTGTTGTTGATGTTATTCACAAAAACTACTACAAAAAGTTTTATGTTTCCATCCAAAGAATTTTTCATGTTATGAAGACTTAACAGTTTTCACTGTTAATTGTTAATTAGGTGTGTATTCACCTCATTCTCTTCACAGAACCACACATTACTGAATCAAGTCATATCTAAGTTTAGTTAAGTAATTTTGAGAGTGAATTACTTTTAATAATTAATGTAAATTGCGATAGTTAGACTCGGTTCATACTTCTCATTCAAACTGCCAGTTGTTCAGCATATTTTCACTACTGATATTAAGTATTTACGATATGTGTAGATGAGACGATCAGAGATGAGCTTTTTGAGATCATCAGTAATCAGATCATAAAGCTGTAGTTCATTGGTGTAAACATTTGACTTTCTTTATCAGTCGATATTTTATTTCGAATCCGGATGTCTATCTAAGAAATAACGGATACTGTCCATTACATGATATAAAGATAGCCTAAAGCTTAAAACACAAATCTGTGGTTTCAAGTTTGTTTATGGATTGATATCAGTTAGAGAACCACTGAAAACTAGGAAGTATTGGACAATCTGTTTCGTCCTGGTTTGGCACTCTTCAGTGATTTGTAGCCATCACCTCACCGTGGATCAAATCCAGGACCTTCAGGTTACGAGACAAGCACATTGTACCATTAGGAAGCTACTAGGACGGAATCCAGTGGTTCATGGATTCTAACTGTTAATTCGAATGATAAGTAGGGGCAACCAGATCGGAGGTGAAGACATATACACTCGCCGATGATATTGGCTGGTGATGGAGCTAAAAATCACGAGACACTGGTTTTCAATGGTTTTCTAACTGATGTCAATTAGTCATCAAACATGAAATAACACTGAAAACAAATCTCTAGGTTGTATTTACTACTAATACTATTGTTATTCAACTAGGTAATTACTCGACTTTCCAATTATTTCACCCCCCCCCCCACCAACATTTTCAATAGTCATGACATTATATGTATATATTTTTTTCAAAAATCAATAGGATAAAGATGAGTTGAACGTCCAACAGACATCAACTTCAATGCAACAACGTTCAGCGTATATTTGTGAGATGGTGTTGAATAAAATGATTGCACGAACTGAAAATACAGAATATGTAGATCAAGTAATGGAAAAAGTTACACTTATACGTGATCAAGTAAGTATGTATGTAGATTAGAAAAAGTGTTTACTTGTTTTCACTTGATGCGAACACACTTTTCTGTGGTGTATTTAAACGAAAGTATAAATTTATATTTATGTTTATTTTTTTTCCGTCACGTTCCCCAGTGGAACATAGGACTTCAAGCTAGTGGCTTGAAGTTTCTGTAGCAGTGTTTATTTTACAGCATGGGGTTGCTAGCCTCATGCTCAACCTTTCCTCTTCACCAGCATTATTTCTGGCTTAGCGAGGTAAAGGAGTGCGTCGGCCGGGGATCGAACCCCGGGCCATGTGCATGGTCGGCGAGTGTCCTAACCGCTATGCCACCGACGCCTGTTATATTTATGTTTATGATGGACCGTATTTCTTCTGTTAACCTAGTTACCCAGGCTAAGAGTCACACTTATCGTATGGGGGTGGGTGGGACTGAAGTAAGTTGTAGCAGCACTGGAACCCGTGGCCCATTGTATAAAAGTTGAGGGGTTAGCACATTGAGCCATATCTCTCTATACACGACGGGTTCTTCTGAACGCCTTGAGCTTCAATCTACGAATGTTTGGCATGCGATTCGCTCCCGCCAAATGTAAGATGATGTTACAGGACTGGACTACACTGACTCTTAGTTTAGAAATAGGAAGTGAAGTGGTAGAGCACGTTGACCGCTTCACTTACTTGGGAAGTACCATCAACCCCAACGGGTTGATCTCCGACGAAATCTCAGCAAGAATACAGAGGGCTAGTTTCGCATATGCCAGTTTACGCCGTCTCTGGCGTAGACGCGATATCCGGCTATCGACCAAAAGGGCGTATGTACTGCTCAGCAGTCTGCTCCGTCCTCCTTTATGGCTGTGAGACCTAGCCATTGAGAGCAGAAGACATGAAAAGATTAGCTGTCTTCGATCATAGGTGTCTGCGTTCTATCTCCCGCGTGAAGTGGTATAATAAGGTGAGCAATATTGAGGTTAGGCTTCGGTCGAGTGCTAGGTAAGGAGGGGAAATCAATCGACGAAGCTGTGAAATTACATTGACTGAGATGGTTAGGACGTGTTACGTATGCCTAGCCTACCCATCATCTAGCTCGACAATAGGCAATGTTAGCTGGCATACGACCAGGTTGGAAAAGAGCCAGTGATGGTCAAACCAAAACATGGCACCAGTCAATGAAATCCACAACAGTTAGTTTAAACCACGTAGGAAGGTGTAGACTCCCTGACCGGTTGGGGTCCTCGGGACGGTAAAAACCCATGGTTGGAAACAATTGGTGGTATGGCTCAAAATCGTTCTCAATGACTGGTGCAGATGCATCCACTCCTTGTGACTTATGATTTCCGATGAAACTGTTTTGTTCTTCGTTATTACTATTCCTTTGTCTCACACCTCTGTTAACTGTCTCTAATATGCATTCCTTCTACTTTCTTCTCTTGCTTTGTGTGCTACATGGAGGGAGTGTGGCGACTTGAACTGTTGCACATCGGTGCAAAGTTCTATGTCGAAAACCGACCGACCGAACATCAATCTCCATATTATGTCTCCAAACAACTTTTGCCAATTACTACTCAGCGTAACGATTAGAAATGTATTGTCACTGAAATGGATGAGGAGTTTAATGTCTACCGAATGTTTATGTACAAGGCCTGTTTTCTTAATCCTTTGCATTCTGAGAGGAAACACAGGGTTTCAAACCTGAACACCCAAGCTTCCCTCTTTACCGGACTTAGTACCTGGCTAAGCCAGGCTAAAGAGTACATCGGCTGGGGATCACGTGCGGCATGGTTGGTCTCTATTTGACCGCTTAACTACTAATGCAAAGAAGGCCTCTTACCAATACTTAAAGTTTTCTAATACAGAATACTTATAAATTTCTTTTTGAAAAAGTAACATCAATACTAGAAAATGAATGTAAATGTGTCAAAGTACACTTTTGGTTTTAAGAATTTTCTTTAAAATATACCACTACTACTATTATTATTATTGACTGTTTAAGGTCAGTTGTTAAGGTCATTTTGTTTATGCTTTCATTTCAACTTAATATATTATTCTAATTTCATTTCTAGCATTTTACACTGAGTACAGTTATAATGTGTAGTAGGCATTTGTGTTTAAAAGTATTTCCGCTATTCATTCAACTTATGAATAAATGTGTTCCCTAATCACTTTATTTTAATAAACAAATTTTTTCTTTTGTTAATTCGAAAAAAAAATAATATCTAGTATACACCAGATTTTGTGAATACAGCTCGTAATACACTAAGTCGTTTAGCTGCTGGTCAGTCAATTGATGAAAAAGCCTATCGGAAATCAGGTCATGCACTGTGCAATGGTGTTCATAATCTTCGATTAACTGTTCTCAATGAATGTGAACTACCGTTTAATCATGATTTGGAATCATTAGATTTACAAGATAACTATCATCTTGGTCCTAGTGTTCCTGCCCCGCCCCTGCCACCACCACCACCACCACCTCCTGCCCAACATCATCATCTTCCTCAATATCGTAGTAACAATAATAATAATAACAACAACGGTGTATCTACAATTGGGAACAGACAGTTGAAAGATGCTGACAAGATGAATTCAATACTGAATTCTAATCACAATCTTAACCCTGAGTCTAATCCTATGTATAAACCTCGTAAGTACTTACCTTATAACAAATATAATAATTATAATAATAATAGTAATATATGAAGGATTTTGTGTGAAAATTGTTTATCTAAGTTATCTTTTTTTGTTTATTTTATTTTTCACATTCGGTTGACAGAAAGTTAAAAAAAGAGAGTAGAGTTGTCAACCCTCGAATAAGGCGGCGGTATTAACTTTCTTTTTTTATACGAAGTCTTTCCTTGAAAATCTTGAAAACTGTGACCACCAGTTGCTTAAAATTACTGACTAACGAAATTTTTGTTTAACATCCTTTTTTTCGTTATTAATAATATTATTGTTGAGCTAGTTAGTTAGTTAGTTTATTAAGTATTTCTTCTCCTTCAAATTCCTATTCAAAATATTTTTTTTCACTATTTTAATTGATTGTCGGGGGCGTATTTCAGTTTTATTTTTATTTCAGTTTCCTTGAGAAAACTAATTTGTGATAAGAATTTTTTTCTCTCTCTCGATAAGGTGATATTTTGTTAATTGCAAAGTAACAGATTCATTTTTAATAATTTAATATTTGTAACTAGATTGATTCTCTGCTGTAAAGTCAATGATAGATATAATGCGTATATATAATGACGATTTTTGCTGCCTAACCAAATTCATCAGCATCCAGTTGTTCTTCTCCTAACATAACTTTAATCATAATCAGTTATTTCCAAGGGAATTAATCAATGATTATTATCATTATTGTTCCCTTGGGTTCCTAGTGGAACATAGGGCTTCAACTGCACGTCTCCACTTGCTTCTGTCTTCTGCTGTTAGTCCATACTGTTTCAACTCCTCTTCACACGATCTCCTCCATGTCACCCTTGGACGTCCCACCCGCCGCTTTTCTTTCGGGTCCCACTCGAGCACTGGCCTGACGCGCGATGTCACCCAGCGGCCTCCTCAGCGAGTGTCCAATCCATCTCCACTTTCTCCTGCATATTTGTTGAGCGATTGGTTCTTGTTTTGTTTCTTCCCATAGTTTCTTGTTGGTGATTCTTTCCGGCCATCTGAACGAAGACAGCTGTTGATAAAGGTCTGCAACAGGCTGTTGGAAATATTCTTTGTGACCCACCAAGTTTCTGATCCGTATAGAGGAACTGACTGACTTGACCTTTGCATTGAAAATCCAAATTTTGTTGTTGATGCTGTGTGACGAAGATTTCCAGATTGGTTTCAGGTTGATGAATGTGTTTCTTGCCTTTCCGATTCTCGATTTGACATCTTCGTCCGTTCCTCCTGTAGTTGAGACAATGCTCCCTAGATAAGTGAATGAAGTAACCTCTTTCAAATCCCTCCCGTTGATGGTGATTGGCGCTGGATGTTGCTGCTGCTGTTGTTGTTGTTGTTGGTTCATTATTTTCATAACCTCCGTCTTGTCTATGTTCACCTGGAGTCCTGTCTTTGCTGCTTCTTCGACCAGTTTGTCGGTTTTCGCTTGTAAGTCTTCGATTTTGTGTGACATCAAACATAAATCATCCACGCGCAAAATCTAGGTCTTCTAGATTCTTCACGTCGGTCCAGGATATCCCTCTCTTCTCGTTTCCCACTGTCTGACGTATAATCCAATCCACCACAATCGATGATAGGATTCTTTAAAAAAATTTAAACACCTCTGTTGGTCGACATAAGGAATGCATAGAATGTATGTTTATATATATATATATATCTTTCGCTCACTGCTTTCCCTAGAGTGCTAAGATGTAATGTCTATAGTAGCACTGTATGTTGGAGGAAAGCCAAAGTAAGTCGGATTTATATACATAATATACAAATCCATGAAATTACTGGCAACAACATGTAGGGGAGTTTCGATTGTGTAGCATGTGAGGTTTGTGTTAATGGTTTCACAGTGGGAGTAGTGGGAATGCTCGCTAACCACACAGACACAGTCACGGTTCAATTCCCGGCTGACATACTTGAAAACCTTACCGGGTCAATAGTAGTAAGCCCAGGAAAGGAGGAAAGTTAGGCATAAGGCTAGCAACCCCTATCCCGTAAAAGCACCATAAGCGCCAATTAAATTATAAAGCTTAAGACTCGAAGCTCAATGTTCCACTTGGAACGCAAAGGAACGAGAAAAATGTTAAAGAAAACTGATGTGTTTAAAGAATCCTGGCGACATAGCTTAAAGTTGTCTGTTGTGTTACAGATGTACTCATACTATATCTTCATTTTAACTTAATTTTGATTATTCTAGTATTTACGAGTTTTATCACTTGGTTTTTACTACATTTTACCACTTTTGAGGGTTTTATTCTTATCTATGTTCATCCCTTTATGTTACTTTCTACTTGTTGTTCAGAGTTCAGGTGTGACAAATTAGAACATTAGTCAGTAAATAGTGGTACTGAATTCGGTGTTTACAGTGTTTATCTTATACCTGTCTATCTGTTGTTTTTCTTCTATTCAATCTCTTTTATGTTAAGTGAAGCAATGTGCACATTAATACTAAGGTTACTTGTAGAGTGTAAGGAGAAAAAGTCAACTAATGTTGCTGTAAAACTTGTTAGAAATACTCTGACACACCAGAAAAGTGGTATGTATCAATCCTTAAATCTGAGTATCTGTAATTGTTGTGTCATTTACAAATACTTTATAAGTTCAGTAAGTAACTGATTAACCGGTATGCACAACTATGTTAGAGCCTTCGAAAATTCCATCTATGATCAGTATTTATCATCCGATCCCCAGAACGTATTTTTCAAAAAGAAATAAAAAGTAGAAACAACAATCATGATCAACTTGAAAGATTACAGGTGCGATTAGAAGTGTTCTCTGAGCTGGTTTGTTTAGTTGCGAAGCTTTCGTCGTCTTTCTGGACAACATCTTCAGGTGCAACAATAAAAGGGTAGAGAGAACGTCGCAGAATCTCACAAATGTGTAACTCTTCTACGTTGCCATACATCATAACATCATTGAAATAGACAACTTCTAGAGGATATATCTAGGAATGAACAAATGAATAAAGAATAACATAATGCTGAGACTTACAAGCGAAAACCGACAAACTGGTCGAAGGAGCAGCAAAGACAGGACTCCAGGTGAACATAGACAAGACGGAGGTTATGAAAATAATGAACCAACAACAACAACAACAGCAGCAGCAACATCCAGCGCCAATCACCATCAACGGGAGGGATTTGAAAGAGGTTACTTCATTCACTTATCTAGGGAGCATTGTCTCAACTACAGGAGGAACGGACGAAGATGTCAAATCGAGAATCGGAAAGGCAAGAAACACATTCATCAACCTGAAACCAATCTGGAAATCTTCGTCACACAGCATCAACAACAAAATTTGGATTTTCAATACAAACGTCAAGTCAGTTCTTCCATAAGGATCAGAAACTTGGTGGGTCACAACGAATATTTCCAACAGCCTGTTGCAGACCTTTATCAACAACTGTCTTCGCTCTATACTGAAGATCAGATGGCCGCCGGAAAGAATCACCAACAAGAAACTATGGGAAGAAACAAAACAAGAACCAATCGCTCAACAAATATGCAGGAGAAAGTGGAGATGGATTGGACACTCGCTGAGGAGGCCGTTGGGTGACATCACGCGTCAGGCCCTCGAGTGGGACGTCCAAGGGTGACATGGAGGAGATCGTGTGAAGAGGAGTTGAAAGAGTATGGAATAACACGGATGCAGGTGAAAAGTACAGGAGAAGACAGAAACAAGTGGAGACGTGCAGTTGAAGCCCTTTGTTCCACTAGGAACCCAAGGGAACAATAATAATAATGCTGAGAATTTAGAAGAATGTCTGTATTGTAACGAATGGTTTTGATTTGTACCATGTGTGTTCTGCGTCCGTAATCTGATTCAATAGTCAATGACACGTCCTGATTCTATCACAGTTTTGCATAGCTAGACAGTGATAAAAACATTGACACTGATGAATATGTGAGTATAGTAAAAGTGTATTCGTTTATATGAGTTTGACCACGGATTGATATCAGTTAGAGAACCATTGAAAACCAGCCACAGGCAGTACTGAACAGCTGTTCCATCCAACTAGTTTGGGAATCATCGGCAGTACGCACCCACTGTGCAGTACTCCCTACTGGTTTTCAATGGTTCTCTAACTGATATCAATTCGTGGTCAAACTCGTATAAACAAATCTAATCCCTATAAACCAAAACTCTGGAAAAGTGTATTTACCATTGCCCAGATATTTTCAGCTGTTATTCTACACAAGATTGACAATGATTTTAACTTTACTCAGTAGTTATGCGTTCAACATCTTTCAAATAAACAAGTTCAAGGTTGAAAGTGATGTATTTCATTAATATGAGTAGGATAGTAAGTTTTGTCACGATAATCATAATAATATGAGACTGATTGAGTTTCAAAATAGGACATTGTACAGAGGTGCAGCTGTACAGGTTGCCACACTCTGTGTAGCACACAAAGGTAGACAAAAAAGGGAAAAAGAGATTCAAAAGAAGTAATACTAAACAGAAATATGAGGGAGACAGAATACTAATATGGGAAAATAGGGTTTAATGGATATAAAAGATTACTAAGAGTGTGCATCTGTTCCAATCACAATGATTTTTTAGCCATATCACTAGTACTTTCCACCTATTGGTCCTTAGAATTTCCAGGAGACCAATCAGACACCTCCGTACTTCGCTCAAACCAGAGACTTCATGGATTGACGATAGGTTTTGGTTTGATCACTCCTAACTCTTTTCCAACGTGATGCTAAATTGGATAGCACTGCTCGTGGAGGAAGGCTATGGTTAGATATGCGTAACGTATGCCATCTCAATCGATTTGGCTTCACAATCTCATCGATTGACTTACCCTCCTTATCTAACACTCTTCATCTAACTCCAATAACAAATGCGATAAACTAAAGACAGAGAGAAAGGGAAATGTAAACATCTAAGGGAAACTGAAAATTCCTTTGAAAATATGCCTAGTCGGTCAGCAACTAGACCGCAATCAATATCATACTGTTTAGATCGTCTATAGAGGCGAG